TGTAGGATGACCACTCACCTGGGTCACTCACCCTGTGGACTCCTGTTCTCAGTCTCCTGTTTGTTTCCTGCTCACAGGCTGTCATTAGTAAGAATAATTACCAGACTTTCTTCAGTCATTACTTGTGCCTTCTTTGCCTTCACAAATTCCTCTCAAGTAACAGGGTTGGAGCAGACCTTTACTGTTTTGAATTAGATGAACAACATTGTATTTAATTTTCTTTCTCAAGAGACCTTTCATTTTCTCTGAGAACTTTTTCTTGTGATGAAATTCTTTAGGCAGGTTTATTATCAGATACAGATGGGATTCATTTAGTGCCAAGGATGACTACTAGGTTCCAGATTTTTGCTGTTTTAGTGGTTATCTTTATTTTATCGCACAGACTGTAAATGAGTTACTTTAGTAAAAGCATTTTTCACGAGTTTGATGGGAATTAATTTGATAATTAGATGCCAGTTTTTAAAACACATAATCTATGCATCTGTATCAAATATGTATGACAGGTGCAAAGCAACACTTTCCCTTACTTGGTTTTTCTGCAGCAGCCCCCACATTTATGAAAATACTATGGCATTTTTTCTTTTCACCATTGCACTCCTGTCTGGCCTATTAGAGAATTTTTCAGGATAGGGAAGGGAGAAGATTGAGAAGATTTCTGGGGAAAAAAAAAAGACAGTTGCCCCAAGTCTGGCCCATGGTGAAACTTCCTTGGAACTGGGGGAATGTAAAGGAGGGGTAAAGGAGAGGCATATGCTCACTTAGCAAGATGTGTAGAGAAAATGTCTGCCTTTAAACTTTTCCATTGAGGGGATGTCTGTAGAGATCAGGTGGTGCTGATGACTCTTAGTTATTGGAGACTGGGGCTTACTCACCATATTTGCTTCCTGAACTTTAGAGGGATGAAGCCAAGTCTTGTGGCCCATGCATGCGGCAAAGCCATCCCAAGTCTGAGAAAAGCAAGGCTTTGGGAGAGAATGGAGGGAACAAAGACAGGAAAAATAGCCTGGAAAAGTTGAAACAATTCCCATTTTACTCTTACACTTCTCTGGCCCAATATTTTAATATAGAAATAGTTTTTCTTTCTCTGTGAAGAAAATCTTGGGCTTGTGGAAATCTGAAGAAAGTTCTTTCTCCAGTATTTTTTTGATCTTATCTGTTTTCTTTTTATTTGTTTTGGGTTCACATCTTGATCTGCTTTCTTAGTGTCTGGAATCTGCACACACACACACACACACACACACACACACCCATTCAAATGTGTTGGATAGTCCCAAGGATGTCTGTAACTCTAAGACTGCCTCTATACAAGTCTGCAAAATTGTGTGACAGTCTCCTTCACGGTCAGGTGTCAGGCTTTTCATTTGAAAATTGTGAAAAATGCTTGTTCAGGGAATCACGGCCTTACCTTATCCATTCTTGTACTATATGACAAAAACCAAATGTGAAAAAACCAGATGGAGTTTGGTTTACATTATGGGTCAGCAGCTGTGGAGGATCCGGAAAGGGGGTTTCAACATAATCATGTTTAAGGTATAAAATTATGAAGGCTGTTTGCTTTCTTTTAGCATGTAGAATAAGGGCGGTGTTTAGATATGTGCATTGCAGATCCCTAAGATGTTATGCAGGCATGATTTCTTTTATAGTAACATTTGTGAACTGGGAACTAGTGGGCTTTTTTTTTTTGTAAATGATTTTAGTAATTCCTGCTTTTTAATACAAACTTGCTAAGGTTTCTGCTGGGTTAGGTGAGTTTGTATATGATTAAATGTCTGCTACCTCCTTTCCTCCCCATCTTTCCAAATAGAACTTTGCATGGTTAAGTAGTAAGGGAGTAAACAGTGAAGTTGGAGAAATCTGCTTACTGACCAAGCTCCTCTATGTGCAAGTTATTATGTGACCTTGGGAAAGTTACCACTCTCTACAACCTCAGTTTCTTCATCTGTGAGATGGGATGAGATTATTAATTTTGTAGTAGTTGTGAGGACTCAATTATATAAAATAATACAAAGTTCCAGTACCTAATAGTTCCCTTTCTACCATGTCCTAAAATGTAAATCATTTCTCTCTTTGGTTTCCTTTTCCTCCTCCCCTTATTTGCTTCCCTGGTTTCTCTAAAAGTAAACAAAAAAACCACAGAAATAAATTATTTGGAAATTTTTGTGGCCTTTTCACTTTTGCTAAGGGGTAATTTCAAAATTCCTATTTTGGAATTTTGACACTGCTAGCTTGACATCGTGCTGTCTTTCTCCCCAGCCTACCCCTCTCTTTTTTCTTTGCTCTCTGCAGGGAAGAAAAAAGTCTCTCCATTGAGCACATTAAGGTCTTGTAACTCCTTCTAGTCATGCGTATGGTCTCCTATTCCAATTCTTGTCTCTTATTTTTGGGCAAATTTATGGTTACCCTCCACTACCAAATTAAAGTGTTAAAATGAAAATGGGCTTTGGTTTAAAAGAATAAGCTTAATTTTGTGCTGAAATGTATAGTTCAACTTCAACAGCTAGAGGCCATTAGTGAACCCACATGTTTTGGGAATTGAAGTAGATTAGTGTAAGAATAAAACACTTTGTCAATTTAATTAAGCAAATCAGTTTATTAAAATATGCAGACTAATTTCAGAACCTAGTTCTTTGCACTGCAGTGGCCTTTTGCCATTTGAATCTCATGATACAATGTGAGGACTTTCTCTTTGATTCCGTAGATCTCATGTCTTGATGTTCCTGACTGGTTCTCTGGTCCTTTGATTCAAATGTGCTCTCTATGCTTTATTTGCTATATTTCTCAGTAAATCCAGAGGTCTGAGTATGTCACACTCCCAGTAAAGAAGCACTTCTTCAAGAACAGGATGAAGAAAGTTTGGGGTGGTTGGTTGATAGAGGGATTGTACTCTTTCTAAGTATTTATAGCTCATCTGTTTTCTGATGATGGTTCCTTAGGCTTCTAGCAGGCACGTGTCGCATTGTTGTTAAGCAAAGCCCGGTATGTATGTTTGACAAGTTAGCAGCGTGGCAGCTCAGCTTGCTTCCCAGCACTGCCGCAGTCTCAGGGATTGTTTGGTTTGGCAGGTAGCCAGCTCTCTGCTATAAGATGCATTTCCTTGACAGGATAAAGTGTGGAGCCGCATTAGCTGCAAAGTTTACAAAGGTTAGCTAAACACACACAATAAATATTAATAAACAAAAAAGGCCCACCCACCTTTGACTTTAAATTTTGTTTCTTCATTTCGTGTTTTAGAATCCTTGTAGTAGTTGATTAATAACTGGTATTAGGGTAATTGAGCCTTAAGTATCCTCTGCCTAAGTTAGATTGCTCACAGGCCTCTCATTGGCTGCTTTGGTTTCTCATTGCCACAGTGCATGGGGCTCTGGAACGACTGTTTAGTTTAAGGGGTCTTATTTGCCGCTCCCTGTTTTGGTGTGAAAGGAGGGTAAATATGCTTCTCCCTAAGAATGTATATGAACCAGCTATATGTGTGTGTAAAGGCTCTGGAGGGTACAGGATGTGAACAGGAATAGAGGTGAGGTGTCCTTGGACTCCCTGGAAAGCAATCAGACCTTGGTCTGTTGGCTTGTACAGTTGCTTCTCTCTAACATTTACACCCTCAGTGAAGAGGGAGAGAGTAACAGTAACCTGCTGCCCCTGGAAACTGCCTGTTTGGCTGGATGTCTTGGAATTTATCAGGCCTACATTGTGGATCTTTTCCAATTCTGTACCCTGCTCACTTGAAAACATATTTGAGAACTAGTAATCTTAGACTGCTTAGCTGGACCTCTAGAGAACCAAGAAAGAGAAATAACTCTAATACTATGCCCTTAATATTGTCCTGGCCCATTTATGGGTGGCTGAGATTTCTGAAAGCCTTTGACAGCCCCTTTCATTGCTCTGTGATTCATGTACATTCTCTCTCTCTAGGACCACATTAGGAGGAATCTAACCCTGCTACATTTGCAGGATACCTGAGTATAATAATGATATGAGGAAATCAAATTATTCCTCATGGAGTAATGATTTTAATTAGGAAATTGTCTCCAGCTTTACCTAGCAGAGCAATCCATTTAGGCATGGGTGAACTGTAGCTTTTAATTCATCCTTCGGTGAACATTTGTTGAGCACCAGACACTAATCTAGGCACTTGGGATATGTTGCCAAACAAAACTAACTGAGATCTTTGCCCATGAAACATGTGTTCTAGTGGGGAGGGCAATCAGCATCATTAATAAATAAGTTATATATTATATTAAAAGATGATATATACTATAAAAAAAAGAAAAGCAGAGTAAGGGGAGTTCTGGGGCACCGTTTTAAATTGAGTGGTCTGAATAGCAACGACATTTAAGCAAAGACTAAAAGAGATGAGTCTTGACTCAGATGGATTTCTTCTAGATAGGGTTTCATAAACATGACTTCATGAAGTTATGTTTGTGACTCTCCTCATGTTTCCATATACCTGGCTTGACCATCTGGGAATTTCCAGTGGTCTATCTCAAATTAGTCTCAGTGGTGGAGCACCTAGAAGCTGCACTTTGTAGACCATGAGCTGTTGAGAAACTTAATTCCATCTTCCCAACCAGGAGCAATTTTATTAGGAGAAAATGTGACTTTTTAATGTATGTATTATAAAGTAGGTTTTACAAGCATAGGTACAAAGCAACAACAACCCCCCTCCCCAAAATACCCAAACTATCAAATTAAATATATCTTATTTTTTCAAGTTTTTCTGTTAATATTTACTCACTATTATATTTGTTTTATCATCTTTTAGCACTTGCTAACCTGAGTAGCAGGTACCATAGATTTGAGAAAAATTGTGGAAAGAAAGCCTGAACTGTGAAAACCTGCCCTTTTAACTTAATTTTCGCCCCAACTAATGGGGAAAACACAGCCATTCTGATTTGATTTTCTCTGTACAATATCCCAGTCCTCTTCAGTGGTACATAGATTAAGAACCACTCTTCTAGAGCAAGTCTGTTAAATCAGATATGAATTAAATAAATGTCTTGTAGACTCTTTTCAGCTTTCTCCTTAATTCCTCTGGAATATCAGGTAAGGGTTTGTAGCCATTTACCTATTTTTTTGCATATTTTTTTTACCATTCACATGGGAGTCTGAATTTTTACCTTCCCTCCCTCCCTCCCTCCCTCCCTTCGCACTCTGTCACCCAGGCTGGAATGCAGTGGCACAATCATAGCTCACTGAAGCCTCAAACTCCTAGGCTCAAGCGATCTTCGTGCCTCGGCCTCCTGAGTAGCTGGGACTACAGGCACATGCCACCATGCCCAGCTGGGAGTTAATATTCTATCGAAAAGGATCTCAGAGATTTCAAGATATTCTATCTTAACGAAAGAGTGGAATGATTAGAGACAAGGAACCAAAGAAATTCAGCCCAAAGTAGATTTAGGAGACAGTAGTCATGATTTTCATTTTACCACTAGAACTATAAAATGCTAATATCTAATCGTACCCTTTTTCCCTTTAGTCCCTATATATAGTTTGGCAAGTGATAGATTATTAATAATCATTGATTTAATGCTTCCACTCATATCTTGTTCTATCAGAGTGAGTTCTATAGAACCTAGTACATGGGGTTTCTGTTTACCAACATCAGCTTCATCTTTTTTCTGTTTAATTCTATCTATGCTATCCCTCCCACCTCTGCCCTCTTACCACAGACAAAAATTAAAAACAGGGTATAGTTCTCATTGAGAACTTGTGGTTCTTTTCAGTCCCAGAGCACCACTTATTTTCCTCACCAGTAATGAATTCATAGGATCATAACTTCCAGTGAACCTTCTCTTAAACTGCTTTTCATTCAGGTTAATGTCAAGTCTTCATATTTTGTATCTGTTTTACTTCTGCTGTTATCCTGCTGTTTTATCTCATAGATAGGGAGACATTATTAAATGCCTACAAATGTATATTGTTTTTGAAAAAGCTTTATGAGATTTGGATCTTTGTGAACTAAAAACAATAACCACCTGGTCTCAATCTGCCGTCCAGAGGGACATATTGTATGTGTGTAAGAGCATGAAATCCACTTCAGTGGTAAGTGTAACTGAGTTATGTGGATTTAGCATTTCATGATGCCAGCCTCACGTGGTAATGGACCTGGGAAACCTAATTTTGCGGTTTCAAGGCTGTCCAGAAAGGGAGATAATGTCAGGAAGAGAACATCTTTTTTATTTTTATGGAGTATCACCCAGATAATAAGTGATGGAATGGAACTTAACTTCAGGAACACAACTTTATGGTTTAAAAGAAAATGTATAAAAGTTAGAGGTAAACCATCAGGATGATATTTGATATAGTAGACTAGTCATCAAAGTACCAGCAGGATTGTTTCCATTTTTATCTGGCCTCTTTAGTCAGCCACTGCACCTTTCCTTTGCAGAGTGTTGTTCGCTGCCTGTGGCATCCAAAGCTGAACCAGATCATGGTTGGAACTGGAAATGGATTGGCTAAAGTCTATTACGACCCCAACAAGAGTCAGAGGTATTTCATAAGTATTGCCTGTTTTAGATGGATGACAACAACTGGGGGGGAGGGATTTCCCTCCCACCCCCCGCTTTTATTCATTTCCCACTTTGATGGAGATCCACCCATTTAGAAAATGCAGCTGGCACAAAGTAAAGCCTCAAACTCCTGATATTGTGCTTTAAAAAGGATTTGAATATCGCCCTTGATCCACACTGAATTCAAAGCGAAAGTTTCCTGGGGATTTGCAGTTGTTTAGCTGAAATGTTGAGTGCAAGGGGGAAAAATGTTCTGCCTACTTTGCATACCACCCTGGACAGAGGCATTAGCAGCGATACATGTAAGAGATTAACAAAGCAGGGAACTAACCACTTACAGGAAATGGAATCAGCTTGTCCATTTCGCTTCTTTCTTTTTTGGCTTCTAGCAGTTACTGGTTTGGGTGTTTGGCAAGATTATTCTCTGCCCGCAGAAAAGGACAGCACAGATACGTTTCCCTTCCACCCGCATGCCCACCCAGTTTCAAACTTAAGTATACCACTGTATTTCAAAAGTCTGAAAATGTAACTAGAGGTTCAGTCAGTTCCTCAGTTATTTCCATCTTGCTTAGGCACAAAGACGGATATGTGTCATCACCCCAAAAAAATGGTTTTGTTTCTCTCTCTTAAAGTACAGTGACTGATTAGCTCTTTCTTTAGAGTAAGACTTGGTTAACTAGCATTAAAATTCACATGTGAAAATCACTGGGGTCCCATATAAACTTGTTTTAAGGTCTCACCTCCTTTGAGGAAAGGAAAGCCACCCTCTATTGATGAATATTCATTGGCCATAATTTTGCTCTGAATAGAAGCAGACAGCCCCATCTTCCTTCAGAGCTTCCTGGACTAGAGTTGGAATCCTGGCCTTATACAATAAAGTATATTTATGGTATTTGAAAACAAATAGGATTTTATTTGTTTTTTAAAAAAGAAATTAAAAATGCTAATGTACTTCGGATTCGAGTCTGCTTCACTTGAGAAAATGATGAGCCTCATTTGATAGCACCCATTTAGAAGGCACTTTCTGTGGAAGCTTTGCTTTAAGAAATTTACTTATTTGTATTTACTTCTCTTGAAAAGGATAACGCTCTACTACTAAGGAGAAGTGCAATGTTCTAAGCACATTTTTGGTTAATCCCACACATTCTTGGGCCGTAGCCCCTTGGCAACACTGCTGAGCCAACTCAGTTCCAGACACTTGTACGCTTGTATTTGAAAAGTGGACATATGCCATTTCGGGTGTAGACCACCCAGGTTGCTTTCATCCGAGACATAAACTAAAATTTTAACCCTATGACCTTTAGAGTTAAAAGGTTGGGTAATTTTATTAAGATCTTAAAATTTCACATTATTCCTGTAGGCTTTGTAAACTTGTGTCCTGTTGCCCTGTTACCTCTCCAACCCTCTTGCTTGGTAATAACCACTGACAGACAGACTTGCTTTTCCATAAGTTTAAGCTTTTATCACTGAGAACCCATCTGTTGCCATCCCTCAGAAGGTCAAGGACTTGTGTAGATGAAGTACATGCACAGAGTATGTTCCTGAAAGTATCTCATGTTTTCAACATGAAATTTTGTTTCTAAGACCAAGTAAAGAAAATAATTTGCTTTTACACCCCTCAGGGGAGCAAAATTATGTGTGGTTAAAACCCAGCGGAAGGCAAAACAAGCTGAGACTCTAACTCAGGACTACATCATCACCCGTAAGTCGTTAACATGCCTCTCAATCATGTATCTCTCTTCTGCTCTCATGTGGTTTTGATTTCATAGCTTTAGAGACAGAGAAAGCCCTCAGAATTCAGGCATATATTACAAAATTGCCCATTCATCTGGATAGGACTACGAGTCATGTAACAGCTAACCTCTTTGGCTTTTGTGACTCATCACAGAGACAGGGTTATTTCTGCAGCTTTCAACCCAAAAGGAAAAAGCCTATGTGAGCCCAATACATTATAGCAGTTTTTTTCAAGAGTAACAGTCTGTTCTAAGTGTAAACAAGAAAGAGTGCTGGTCTTGGAATCAGGAGGCCTGGGTTTGTCCAGTTCCACCACTGACTGGCAATGTGATGTTGAACAACTTAACTTTTAATCAGGAGAGTACGACAACTAGAGGAAGGGTCTGTTCCAGCTTCCTCTGAAATTCTATGACCATGTGCTAGACTGATCCTCAGGAATTTGTATATAAAATTAACTACCTGGGGTATGAGTAGAAAGGTTACTAGGGCAGAGTGGTTTCTCTCAGATATGTCACACAACCTCATTAATCTGGCAGATATGTGTTCCCAGAGCCACAATCTCAAACCTGCAACAGGTGACAGCTAGGAAAGAAATAATGGATGCTACAGCGATTATCGTTAGCGGATGGCCCTGTGGACTTTATCAGTGACTCAGTCTGGAGCCCAGGGGGCGCTGTACTGCCGGGTTTTCTCACTGGTGGTGGGTCTTATATGAGACCAAGTCCCTTGGAGCTTATGACCAGTAAAGAGATCCCATGATACTTTTTGCAAGAGTAGAAGTGTTAAAGTCACTGTCATAACCAGTCTAGCTCATGTAATTACATGCGGCCTACTTAAATTCCTCCAGTCGTTTGAAGTGAAAAGCTATTTTTCCTCCTCCTAAAAATACTGTTGTGTTGTGTTGCCCAACTGAGTGACCGGTGGCTATGTTTCTCAGCTCCCCTGACTCAAGGCAGGCATGTTTTACTGGTGAGTGATATGGTCCAGCCCTAGTTGGCAGTATAGGTAGAAGGTAGAAGGTTTGAGGTGTCATAGACATTTTATTGATATTATAAATTCCCTTTAACCTTTCCCTTCCTTCCCCTGGTCCCCTGGGAAAAGTTTCTTTTAAAGGAGGTTTAATCTGCATGTAAGAGTCAAAAAGAAATTGTGCTGGTACTTTTTGGGGGCAAGAAAAAGAGAGTTATTTAATACTTCCCTAATAACTCTTTCCTTTTCCCCTAGAATATTATACTGTTTTCCTTTTAAATTCTTATAATCTTTTATATTCTGAAATTTAATTTTGACATTGAGTAAACAGCAACAGCAATTGAACACATATTGCTTTGGTTCTTATTTTCTTATTTTGCTACCATATAGCAGGAGGGATAAGGCCCCATTAAGTCCCCACGCCAAGAGATTTAGGCACCCCTTGCATTCATGGCAACCTTTATCCCAGTTTTAGTGGGGTAAATGTTCCTCCCTTCCGGTTACTCAGTGTTGTCAACTCCTCCTGAGAGGTGGTCACATTTCAGAAACGTGTGAAGTGATTCCAGTGTTTATGAGACATCTGAGGAGACTTCAGGACTGACAGCAAGCTATTGGCATTATTTACATTTGGGTCCTGTAAGAAAAAAATAAGAGGCAGTCCCAATATGTGTTTCTTTTCAAAACCGCAGTAATTAAGTTTTAACTGCTACCCACGGTTTGGGAGATGGGGAACCTCACCGATGTTTCCGTGACAATATTTAACAGTATTTCCTGAGTGCCGTTAGCTGCCAGGAGAGGTGAGCAATGAGTCTGGTCTCAAGCAAAATTGGCTAATTGGTTACAGTAAGACTGTCTTTTATTATTAGATGAAGGCTGTCATTGTGACTTCCATTTCATCTTTCAGTTAGTCATGCTTTTTAGCTATGGTTTTGGATGGAAAGATTATTCTTATAATGAAATTTTTCAAATGTGACTTCTTGTAGCTCATGCCTTGCCTATGTTCCGTGAGCCCCGCCAACGGAGTACAAGGAAACAGCTGGAGAAGGACAGACTGGATCCCCTGAAGTCGCATAAACCCGAACCTCCTGTAGCAGGCCCAGGTGACTGTGATCCAGCTAGTGACCTGCAGAGGGGGTTCAGAGGCAGGGTGGGGTAATTGATATAAAATTGGGACAGTCTTTTGGGCCTGGATGCTTCTTTGTCTTCAGAGAGATTTTACTAGTGTTTTTTTTTTAAATGTTTTCTTTTTAGCTGCAGAAGAACTGATGCAGAATCCAGATGTATAAAGCGGATAAAAATTGAGCTGCTATGCTGAAATAGGGAGGAAGACTGGGGCCCTTTCTGCTTGGTCTGCAACTTGAGTTTTCCTAGCTGGCCTCAGTGGAACTTGAGGGCTCAGTGGAACTTGGAACCCAGTGTTAAAACCACTGCTCTCAATATTGGCTTAATGTACAACACTGGGCACTTTTACCAGAATCCAGGCTGGATTAGGTTTCACACAAGGCAGAAAGTGGCCATCATTTAGATTTGTGTTGATATCACTAGAAGATGGATAAAAGTCTTCAGCATTTTTAAGAAGTAGGTACCAGAAGAAAGCCAAGCAGCACTGGCTAATAGTATAGCACATACCTTCGTTAGAATTTCATTTTCTGTTATCATCTATGTAGTTTCTATTTGGTCTGCTCCTTCAACATAGAAAACATTTTGCATATCTATTGTAATTTTTTTTTCATTTTTTTTCTAACACCATCCTAACTGAAGTTTCCAAATAATATTCTTTCTTGGATTATTGTGAACCCTTTTAACTAGGCACCTTAGTCTCAAGTCACTCCCTCTCTCCCACCTCACTTCTATTTGTCTTATACACAGCTTTAATCCCCAACTCTGTTAGCTTTTCATGTTGCTACAGCCTCCAAACCTTCATAAGCTTCCCGCTGTCCAATTGTCTTTCCAGAGATTCAAGGTTCTATACAGTCCAAATCAAATCTACCCCTGTAGCTTTACACCTTACTTCTTTCCTGCTCTGATCTTCTGAGATTACTGTTGGTTCAGTCCTGTCCCCAAATACCCACTGAAGCAATGTATTTTTGTACTTAACCCATTCTGCTTGTTGAAAATAACCTTGTTTACCTCCTGAACTTTCACAAATTGGATCCATCTCTTTCATAAAGACCTGTTCAACCACCTGAGCCTGAAGTGCTGTCTTCCTCTAAGTGCCATAATAGTTACTGGCCGTACAAATTATCTCACAGTTAATTATTTCCTGCCTTATTTAGTTTCTTCTTATCTTGTTTTATGAAATGAATCTTTTAGTGTTATTTGGCTTTTCATATGTTTATCTTCCTAAAATGTCCTACATCTTTCTGAGTACCAGTCACTATACTAGCTGCTAGAGATCCAGTGGGGAACAAATCCCTGCCCTTAAAGAGGTTCCTGTTTCTTAGGGAGATTATAGTACAGCAGAGCAACATGAATCAGTATGTTCAGCTTATTTGTTTTCTCTTATAATACTCAGCAAAGTACCTGTAAGGTATTTGGAAGATGGCAAGCCCTAAGATAATGTTTATTTAAATAGCATCTAATGAATATTGGTTATTTTTATTAATTGAATTCTAAATGTTGATGCCAGAGGAACTTTTTTAAGCACATGTATGGCAAATTGTCTGTAATTTTTTCTATGTTGGTACGATTCTGTAAGTTTAAGCAACTGAGACATAACAAAAAAATCTCTTCCTATTTAAAAGTGTTATGGGGAAGTTGAGGTTTGGTGATCTCTTACTTTGGTTCTGATTGTCATAAATGTAAGCTGAAAGGATGATACTCAAGTACTCTTGAGATTTGTGCTCAGATAAGTACAGTGTACACAGATATACCTGTGTATCCTCATGCTCATTCAGTTTCTAATTTGATTTTTTTTCTTTTGCGACAGGTCGTGGTGGCCGAGTTGGAACCCACGGGGGCACTCTCTCTTCCTATATTGTGAAGAACATTGCTTTGGACAAGACCGATGACAGTAATCCTCGGGAAGCCATTTTGCGTCATGCCAAAGCAGCAGAAGACAACCCATATTGGGTTTCTCCAGCATATTCCAAGTGAGAATATAGCTTTTTAAAATAGGAAAATTGTTATGTTTAATGAATTGGGGAGAACATAACAATGTTGTTTTTGAGTTCTAACTTGTCTATTTCTTATTTCATACTTAGATATGAAAAATAGGCCAGATACTCATGGTCCTTAAGCCTAGGCATTTGTTTGTATCATAAAACTCTAAAATCATGAATTTTAAAACTAGGCCCTGTTCCATCAGAGTTGTAGCATGGTGTAAACCATTATGTGAAGCCCATCCTGCCTATGATTAAAACTACAAACAAATCACTGCTTATGTGCATTATGTTAGTTGAGGAGGGTTAAAAGCAAATGAAGCAGTTTGTAGGTCTGATATTATGAACTCACTTTTATTTATAGAGCTGTATATGTAAGTAACACTGCAGAGTAGATCCTGCCTGCTCGTATTCCCTCAGATAGCTTAGCACGGATGAATAGGTAGCAGTTCTTAAAGCCACCAAACCAGCTACGTTTACATTAAAGATAGGTACTATTATAGAATTTTCCGTTTTTATTTTTACTTACTTATTTAGAGTCAGGATCTTGCTCTGGTTGCCCATGCTGGAGTGCAGTGGCATGATCATAGCTCACTGTAACCTCAAACTCCTGAGCTCAAAGGATTCTCCTTCCTCACCCTCCTGGGTAGCTAGCATGACAAGCATGCACCGCCACACCCAACTAATGTTTCAATTTTTTATAGAGACAGGGTCTCACTATGTTGCCCAGGCTGGTCTTGAACTTCTGGTCTCAAGTAGTCCTCCAACCTCAGACTCCCAAAGTGCTGGGATTATGGGCATGAGCCTCTGCACCTGACCAGAATTTTCAGTTTCTAAATTTTTAAACTTTTTGATTTAATTTTAGATTTTTAGGAAAGTTTCAGAAATAGTACAGAGAGTACATACATACTGTTCACCCAGCTTCCTCCTAATTTAACACTTTACATAATCTTAGTGCAATTAATTATCAAAACTATAAAACTAACATTAGTATAATACTATTAACTAGGCCAGGTGCATTAGCTCATGCTTGTAATCCTGGCACTTTGGGAGGCTGAGGCAGACAGGTCACTTGAGGTCAGGGGTTCAAGACCAGCCTGGCAGCACATCTCTACTAAAATACAAAAATTAGCCAGGCGTGGTGGCGTGCGCCTGTAATCACAGCTACTTGGGAGGCTGAGGCAGGAGAATTGCTTGAACCCAGGAGGCGGAGGTTTCAGTGAGCCAGGATCATACCACTGCGTTCTAGCTTGGGTGACAGAGTGAGACCCTGCCTCAAAACAAACAAACAAAAAACTATTTATAGACCTCAGTTAGTTTTTGCCAGTTTTTCACTCGTGTTCCTTTTCTGTTCCAGGATTCCACATCGCACTTAGTCTCCTCCTATCATAAGTTACGTTTCCTGTCTTTCATGATTTTGATGCTTTAATGAATACTGGTCAGTTATTGTGTAGACTTTCCCTCATTTGGGGTTTGCTTGATATTTTCTTATATTTGGAATGAGACCATGCATGTTTGGCAAAAATAACACAAGAGAGATGTTGTGTCCTTCTCAGTGGATGTCTTATTACTGGTGATGCTAACTTTGGCCACTTGCTGAAGGTTGTATCTGCCAAGTTTCTCCACTGTAAAGTTGCTTTCATTCTATTTCTATTTCATTCTGTTTTCAGTTGATCACTTCTTGGAAGTGATATTTTAAGACTATGCAAATCCTGTTTCTCCTCAATTTTGCTGTCTGATTTTATCATCCATGAATGAATTTGCCTGTAACAGTTATTACTATGGTGTTTGCTTAATGGTGGTTTTCTGTTTCCCTCTCTCCTTCTGTGTTTATTAATTGGAATTCTACCTAGAGAAACAGTTGTTCCTTCTTCCACATTTATTTATTTTTCAAGTATTTTTAAAATATTGGTATGGTCTCTTACTTTATTCTGTGAGTTAAAATCCAATACTATCATTTAGTTTGTTGCTCAAATTGTTCCAGCTTTGGCCAATAGAAGCTTCTTCAGAATGGCTCCTGTCATCTTTCTCAAGCCCCTATATATCTTTTTAGTACTTCCTTACTTTCTGGCACCACAAGATGTTACAGATTTATCTTTGTTTTTCTTACCCACATTCTGGAATCGACCACTTCTCCAAAGAGCCGTGGCTCCTTTTGTTGGAGAATGGTGGTTAGAAACCAAGGGCTGTGTGCTGGATGTGCTCCTTGCTACTAGACTGCCATTGCTTCTAGGTCCTCTCTGGTGACAAAGCTAGGAAATAAGTGTATGCATACTAAGCTACCCATCTACACACATCTGTGTTTCTGAATGTATCATATAATCTGTAGTTATATGTTTTAAAACCATGAGTTTTAATTAATGTTTCTGATTTCAGTCCTGTATCACAGGTTCCTTGACTTTTCCCCTTTCTGTATTTGTAACTTCTTTCTCCATTAATGAGAAACCCAGCTCTGATTTGTTTAGTTCTGGCATATACATTAACTAGTTTTAGAATTGCTAACCCATATCCCTGTAAGAATCACTTTTCCTATCTACATGGCATAGTTTGTTTATAGTTCTTCTCATCTTTAGCCTTAAAGTGTATTTTCTTCACCACCCCAGTGATTGTGGCTATGTTAGTCATTTGAAATGCAGTTAGGTTCATTTATTAGTGTTTATATCGCTTTTTTGGGTTTCCTTCACATCCTGTTTATTTTTTTGGAGTGTGTGAAATATTACTATGGTTCTAGGAGTCAGAGCTTTAAAAGAGATTTACTTAGAGAAATGTCTCTTCCTCTTCATTCCTGCTCCCCTTTTCCTATTCCCAGTCCCCCTTTTTTCAGTCCCTTTCCTATCCACCCTTGTAGCTAAATAATCTCTTTAGTTCCTGGTGTATGTTTCGTGTATTTCTTGAGCACATATGTAAGTATCTTCTTACATCCCCATATTTCCTACATGAAGGATAGCATAATGTAAATCATCTTTTTTTCTTTTTTTGGTCTAAGTTCCATTTGAAAATCTTTGGTGAAGTGTAGTTACAACATATGAACACATGTATAGAGTAAAATGTCACCATTTTCAATGTATAAATACTACCCACAACCAACTTTTATCACAAAATTATTGCTAATCTGTGATTATCCACAAAGTAGTTGGTTATCTAAATGTTTCTTCATTAACATTTTAGTATGAAATTTAACTTTAAATGAACTTTGAGAATACTGTTTATAAATATGTCAGCAACTTTTTTTGTTATGCCATTTTTGAAATGTGAATTGATCAGTTTAGTATTTTAGCTGCTTTTCATCCCCCATCTTTATTGAGGTATGATTGACTTAAAAATTTATATATATTCTGGTGTAAGACTTGATATAAATTAAGTCATATTAATTTGCTTTTGTTGGCTTTGCTTCTTTTTCACATAGAAGTATGCCCTAGAAAACACTACATCAGTCCATAGAGCTCACTCTCATTGATTTTCATAGTTGCATCGTACTCCATTGTATGAATTTATCATAGTTAATTCAACCATTCTTCTATGTATGGATATTTAGGTTGTTTCAGTATTTTGTAAGTACTAACAATGCTATAGTGAGTAGACTTACAGACATGTATTTTTGTATTGTTGGAGGTATATTCAAGTTTTTTTCTTGATGTCTTTATGTATTCCTAAAGTTTTGTCTTTAATTGTGAGAAAACTGAATGCTGATTACTTTTTAAAACATTAACAAGCTGGAAAAAGTCTTTTATTAACCGACTCCACCTTTATACTGCTCCCAGTCCCCTATCTACTCATTATTAGGAGCTACATTGCTTCAAATAAAAACACATCATCTTAGCATGCATTCCTTAGAAGCAGGCCCTGAGATAAAGATTTATATAAAGATGAATTATTAGGATATGTTCCCAGAGAACATCAGTAGGGAGTAGAGATGTGTCATGAAGCCGTCAAGTGTGCCAAGTCTCAGGGAGGGTCACTTTGCCTTAATCCTGCAGGGTAACCCTGGATACTGTGGTCAGAGTTGTCCTGGTCAGGGACATGGCAGCTGGAGTATTTATACTCCCTTATTTGTTGGTCATTGGTGATGGTTGGAGATGGGGTTGGGAAAGACACTTCAGGCACTGTCAGCTCTCCAGCGTTTTAGAGGTAGATGCTCCTGCTGTGAGTGAAAGCACATTGCCCAGTAATGCTAAAAGGATTTGAGGCAGTCGAGGGGAAGCACTGTGTCCTCTGCTATATGTGCTGTAGCAGAACAGACTATGTAATGTCAATGGTGGTTGTTCACGATTTATATTAATGAACAATACAGATGGAACATCTCTGATGCTAAAAGGATTTGAGGCAGTCGAGGGGAAGCACTGTGTCCTCTGCTATATGTACTGTAGCAGAACAGACTATGTAATGTCAATGGTGGTTGTTCCCAATTTATATTAATAAGCAATACAGATGGAACATCTCTGAACAGTGAATTGTATAATATCACAACAACTAAGAGGTCATATCAAGGCTGGCCAGCGAAATAGCATGCTTTAGCCTTCATTTGAATAGTGTTTATGTGTGTATAAACTAATCCATGTCAACACATCATCAGCAGTCAGATAAATTTATAGATTATGTCTGTGTTGACACTTCTGTTTTTAATGAGGTATTTTCCATTATTAGGGATTGTTTTTATACTTCAGAAACCTTGTTTAGAAACATACTAAAGATTTGTTAAGAAAACAGTCATAGTTTAAATTTTGTTAAACATGGTGTACGTTATTTCGATGGCTAACTGCTCCAAATATGTGTGTCTATGTTTACACACAAATCATTGAGTTGTCTTCAAAAATATTGATATAAATACTGTTTGCTGATTATTCATTGATATTAGCAATGTATAATATAGCAATATTAGCAGTGTATAATTAGAAGGTGTCAAAGACCTAACTTACCACTGGAGAAAATGAAACATCCAGAAGATAACTTTTAAAACCTGCTGGATAACAAGTCATTGCTGGAATCCAGAC